AGGCTGTAAAGAACAATGCATTGTTTAAAAAAAAAAATCCACAAAAAAAAAAATCTGTGAAATGGCAAAGCTGTGAATAAAGAACCGTGTTAGAGCGAGGTTATACACTTATTAAAAATATCTGTATGTCATCGGCACTTTTCTGTTGTCATGATGTTCTTTTTTTTATTTTTTACAATAAAATAACTGAAAAAGAAATTATCAAATAACTTAGATGTGCTAAACGAAGTCACATCATGAGAGCCACTGAAATGAACCAGTCAGGGTTTCACCTTACTCTTGATATTTGTATCTATACAGGTAGTGGCACTAGCGGGTGGAAAATGTTGGTCATATTAGCTAACGCATAATTTCACTCCACAAACTTACTTTGCTTGCACAGAAACCAGATTTGTGCGATTTCATGGTAATCGGTCTACACGTCCTATATAGCCTTGTTCCTTGTTTTTTTTTTGTTTTTTTTCCTGCCCCTTCTTGTGTTCTGAACCAAAGATAGCCACGGAAAAGAATTGCCCATTGCCAGATTAACACACTTTAAAGTACGAGTTAAAATGGATAGAAAAACCAAAATGTCTGACCATTTGCACTTCGGCTCCGACACGGCTCCTATAAATAGTCCCCTATGAGCAAAAGCTTCCACTTAACCCAATCTTCAGGAAGGTTGTATTTGCGATCCTATTAGTCACTGGGAGTGCCGGTCACCTGAGAAGCACCTTGACAATGATGGCATAAATTTTTTCGAAAAATGATAGAGCCCCATTTGCCATGAGCCCTACCGCCGCCGAGCGTCATCGTCGTAGAGCTGTTGGCGGGAGTGAAAGATTGTGTGTCATCACAGTACTCTACAGCATCTCACATTTACCGTAAAGAATAAGAATTTTCACATCCCATCACCTCATTGAGAATCCTAAAATTTGATGCAAGTGAGCAAGTATACAGTGAGGATGACTCGGCCGACCGCAGTGATATAGGCTCGTATTCGGTCAGAGAAGAGAGGACGCATTGTTCAGACGGCGGAGTATACTTGGGGGCCTGGGAGGTCTCTTTCTGAACTTAACGGCACAATGAGAGACTCTGACAGGGGGAACAATGACCCTAATGTAATTGTAGCATTGGTGAGTGTCAGAGAGAGAGACATAAGGACTAGGGAGAGGTCGTGTCATGTTGATGAGCTGATGCAATAAAAAAAATTGAGGGAATTCAAAATTTCAAGGCAACAAACAAAATTTAAGTTGGGGCAAGTCAACGAAAATATTTGACATTTTGCTGTTGTGAAAATTGTCTTTCCTCCATTTCACACCAAATAAATATGAGTTCATCAAACAAATTGTTCCTTGTACTATCCTACAACTTGAAGGTGTTTGTTCAAACAACTTTTGGGGCAAACAACTTGCATGTTTTGTTGTGCAATATGTTAAATTATTGTTTTAAAAAATACAACTTTTTTTTTTTTAATGGCGTGGCTGATGAGCAAAGCATTCAGTCCTAGATTTAGACCATCTTTTGCACTTCTTCTGTGTTCAGCTTCCACATAGCACGTGCTGCTTGTTCATCAAATGAAGTGATGTTGCCTCTATATGTAGTCATCATAGTCATAATGAGCACATTGTATTTTAATATGAAGTACCACCATTGAAGGTATTTTTCCGAGCAGGTCACATGCACTCATTTAGGGAGTTTGTATAATCCCATGAATATCATTAAATGTTTCATCATTTCTCATTAGTATGTGTCTGTACACTGTTTGAGCAGTCACCCAAGACGGGCTGTGACTCATAAGCCAGCTAGCTCGTCAGCCATCCAAAACCCTCCGCTCCCCACCCTGCTTCAGTCATAACAGACAGTTTGTCACCCATCCATCCCCAACAAAGGGAGGGAGTGGTCGTTTTTGCCCATGACTGTAAACGCTGATTCTGTTACAAAGTTACACGAATTCCGTGATAGGCATCGACGGGAAAACAATTTAATTGGGACAAGGCTGAGCTACCGTACGCTTGTTTCCCAACATGATTTGCGGATGTCATTTATTTTTACGGTCAAAAGTTGTCACCGTGGCTTTCATCATATAGGGCTTTCTGTCCATTCATAACGTTTTGCTGGATTCCACTTTTCAGCACGTCGTCAGTGCTGTTGCAGCACATTAACAAACTGTTGCAACTTCAAATATAACATGGAATACTTCCTTGTTTTTTTTTTTTAATTTTTATTTCCTCAACCATAATGGAAAACTGATAGAATAAATGCCATTTGCCCAAGACTGTAGTCTATTTGTGCCCAGTTTGTCCTCAAACATAATAGATTAAGTGATTGGAATTTAATGTTATTGTCTCACTCACTGATATCGCGGAGGTGTACAGAATAGTCTCATCTGCATAAAATTGAACCTTTGAACCGACCTAAATTTTTCATATACAGTAGATGGAGAATAAAATGGGGTCCAACATTGACACTTGTGGGACACCCGTTTTTAATTCCAGCAAGGATGAGGTACAATTATCCGATGCCACACATTGAGTTATACCACCCAGGTATATATATTAACCCTTTCAGGGACAGCGGTTACTACAGTGGACAGCTTATCATGTTATCAGGTTACAGGGTGCATGAAAAAGTTAAAAGATTTGATTTAAAAAAATACAGCCATAAGGTAAAACAAAAACCTTGACAGTACTCCGTGGCTTTTGATCGGGATGCTCATAATAACCACTGCGGTCACATTAACAGCCAGTCTCAGTATAGATGGACCGCGCAGATGCTGTACCGTGTCACAACATACTGGGTGCTCTGCTTTTTTCCGATAACGAGTCAGAGTCTATTTGTGTCCAAAAGATGAAGCAGTTTTTTTTTTTTTAACTGGATCCTTAGTTGTCAATTTGAGTCCAAGGCAAAATCATGTCACGAGATGTTTGTTTTAAAAAACAATACAATTCCTAAATCTCCATGTTTAGAGAAAAAAAATGTTCATTCATGGTGTGATGTCGCAGGATGTATAAGTCATCTTTCGACTTTTTTTTCCTCTCTATAGCTACAACAAGAATCATTTGTCTGATTTAGTTTATCGATCCACGAGTCCGTGCTTGTGAACCAGCTCCTGCTCACACCTCTGCACCCAAGCTCAGCGTAGGCATGCAAATCTGAACCTGGGACTGGTGGGGGTGTCTTACGGGCTGGAGGACCACCTTTGGGTGCCAAGTTCAGATGTGAAAGGAGGACAAAAAAGAATGTTGCCCGCCTGGCTTCCTGGCAGTAGACCCGCTACCCAAGAGGATAGTTATGTGTCTGAGCTTGTATATACAGAGATGACTGTGGAGCACGGATGTGATAAACACTCCAGGCAGGGGGATCTCCATCCAGGAGTGGGCTCGCAATGCTTTAGTGATGAGGTCATTGGGGAAAAAGCCCACTTGAACCGATGCAGGAAAACATGCAGATATTACATTACTGGATTGCACGAGACCCATCATTTTCCCCTCAGTGAAATATTTCCTCATATTTCTCTCTTTTCACTCAGTAAACCTGAATCGTAACCCTCCATCAAGCCTGGCTTGATTGGATATGGCGGATTTTTTTTTTTTTTTTTTAAGTGGAGCAGGGTTGGATCTCATGTCTGCATTCTGCCAAATCTGTGTCTTGTTGTTGGTGCTGTTATGTTAGGTGTGAACTGTGGCCTTGCAGCGTGTTGGGTAACAGTGTTGCCTAAGCTGGATGTTGTGAAGGTGTCGTAACGAGTTGGACCCAGCCAGGCTGTCATGTGAGCCCTTGTTCTCTATCATGCCCTGCTTGGGACGTCAGAGCATGTGTGCATGCGTGTGTGTGAATGCCTATACGAGGTGGCAGCCTTCGGAAGGAGCACACAGGTCAAAGGTGAATCTGTGACTCATGGCCTGTGGAATTTTTTTTTTTTTAAATAAAATAAACACAGGATGCCAAAACATCAAACACGCATGCGCAGACTCTGCAAACAGCACCAGGAAACAGTCATTTATTAAAAAATGGGAGATGAGATAGTGCTCTCCAATTAAACCTCCTCAGCAACATCCGGGTTCCAGGAAGTTGAGACATGAGGGGGTTTCCCCCCTTCAGACTTTGTTCGCTTCGTGTTCCTTATTATTGATCAAGTAAGACGCATTGCCCCACCAGGCAAGGCACAGATGAAAACGTTTTTGGAAAAGAAACCTCATTCTTAGAACAAAGGTTAAAGGCTACTAAAACTCATTAATGAAACAAACAAAACACGAATTTGACTCAACACCGTGCTTAATTAAAATGTTAATGGTAGATGATTCTACTGAATATCAAATGAACATAATGTTACAGCTTATTTCAGTCATGTTCATAATTTCGCAAAATAATGCAAAGGGGCATTTTCACTTCAGCGGATTTCATTCTGAGTCCATTTCGCTCTAAATCTTTTCTGTAATTTAAGATTCCAGTAAACGAGTCTCCTCAACATTTGAGTTGTATTGTCCTTTAAGTGATTGAATCAGATGAACACAAGACCCAAAGCTCAAACCTATTTTTTAAAATATGATGTTGACATGAATGACAATTTCCCAGAACACATATACACTACAAAGGTCTCCAACCTTACCTTTTTTTATTAAATAAATGAAAGCCTATTAAAAACTTATTTGTAAAAACTTAAATGCACATTAACTTATTGCTTTTACAAGTCTGTCACTTACAGTGTCAATTTGTCAATTTCTATGTTTGGTGTTCATTTCAGAGATAGTCGGTATTCACCCGGCCTGGTTGGCTGTGAGAAAATTAACTTCTTAACTGTATAAAAATATACAGATTAAAGGCGAGAGGCGCGTATTAAAAATGAACGAGGATAAAATCCAGTGGCTGGACAGAAAAGCAATGCTTTTGTAGCTGCGTTGATGGGGCGAAACAAGCTAGCCAACGAGGGAAAACTTCCCCTGAAAATGATAGGTTGAACTTGAACTGAGCTTCCTTCACTGTCATGGAAATTTGTGACTTTTTTTTTCTACTTTTAGATTTTCACACCGTCGACACAACGTCAAAACAATGGTTGACTGGGAGAAAATTAAACAAACTAGTCCTGGGGGAGCAATTCAAGATGGCTGCCACCTGCGTGTCAAGGTTTCAGGTGAGTCATCCTGTCAAGACAATCACTGAGCCTCAATTTCTTTTTGAATTACACTAAGGGATTGATTAAGGACAAATTTAGTCAGTTCAGATTAAATTTAATACTACATTTGAATCAGCACCCAAATTAGTAAAGTGTGCGCTCACGGTGAACGATTTTTTTCTCAGAACACTCTCAAGATAAATGTTTTTGCTCAATATTGCGATTGCAATTTAGTATGCAAGCTTTTTTTTCCACAGTTTTCTTCCCATGTATTTCTGAACCATCGCAAACGATAAATTCATCTGTATTACAACAAACAAAATCAGATTTATGATGCCAAAATATTTTGGGTTTGACTGGTTTTGGCTCTCGCTAATATAAAGACAAATGAACCATGAATCAATATGAACGTTTATTTCTCTACTTCAAAGTTTGATTTGCATTCACAAAAGCAACTTCGTAAAATTCGACCAGACAAGAGATTTATCAGTCCGATAACAAAAATAATGCAACGTTTCAAGATTCATGAAACTCGGGCTTCCAGTGTGTGTTCAACCTGATGAACGACGCCAGTTGTCCTGTGGATAAAACACCATTTAAAATGTTTTTTAACTGTATATTCATCAATACACTCAGACCTAAAATGTTTCAGTTGTGAACATTTATTATACCGAAAATAATCTACCTGTGGTTGTGTGTATAAGCATAAACCTGTATCAAATATGTTTAACTTTTTTGTTGTTGTTTATTGCAAATAGACATATTAATTCGTTTTATTTTTTAAAAAAAAGTTTGTAAAGTTTGTCGATTGATGGTTGCTGTTGTCATCTGTTCAGTATAGCTGGACATATGTATCAAGTATTGAAGCAAATTGACAAACGATGTGGCTCTGATTCTTGATGGGTTGCAGTCACAGGCAAAATGCTTTCAGCAGACGTCCTGCTGATTCACCCGAAACCAATTTGCAACGCAAAGGATGGTACGGCAAGTAGAGAAAGAAGTCAGGAAGTCTATCTAGGCACGCACACCGTCATGAATGAACATATACTCTGCGTGTATGTGCGTGTGTCTATGTGTGTGTGTGTGTGTGTGTGTGTGTGTGTGTGTGTGTGTGTGTGTGTGTGTGTGTGTGTGTGTGTGTGTGTGTGTGTGTGTCTATATATACATAAATTGTGCTTTTTACAATTTATAATCAGATTGCTCTTTAATCAAAAAAGGAAGATGAGTCTATCCTTACTCTTAACAAGCCCTGTACATGTATTTTGATTTATTTTGTGACGTGTCAACCAAAACTGTAGATATTAAGCACTGTACGTGACCTGTAAAATATAATAAGCCTATTTAGAATAGTGCAGCACTCTAGTCCAGTAAAATAAAATGGACCTTTGTTTCAGTACGTTTTTTTTATTTTTAATACCCACAAAGAAGTGTGGGAGTGGGACCATCACACTTGGGGCTTGTTTTTTTTTTCTTCAGGTCCAAAAGCTATACATTTGTGAAGGTTGCGTGACTCCAGAAATGTGCTGTTCATAGCAATTGTCTCCCAAACACAACAGCTAAAAAGCATTTTCACTTTTCTGCATGACAATGAACTCAAGCTTACTGTATTCACGCAAACAAAAGAATGAGGATATATTTTCTGGATATGTCTGGCCCAGTCCGAGCCCTGATCTAAATTCAATTGGAAATGTTTTGGAGACGACCTGAAAAAATGTGCATCACCTGCTTGTGTGCAGGTGATGATGCCCTTGGACACTGACAAATTTGAAGCTCCTTTCCTAGGAAGCACGGGCAAATTTTTGTCACATCCACTTGGGAGTGCCGACAGACTCAACATTCTAATTAAAGCAATTGTGCTTGAACAAATTATTTTTAGGGCTGTGAACACATTTTACGCTTTTTGTCACCAGAAAGACTTCTCATTGACGTATACTGGGTTATAGGTCCCTATTTTTGTATCATACATGAGTATGGTCATGCCATTTTGTACATATGGACAATATGGTATTTGAACCGGACGCTTTTGAACGCTTTTACAACACATTAAAAAAAAAAAAAAAAAAAAAAGCACAAGCTTGAGTCACGGAATGATGCATGTCATCAGTAAAACACTTTGATAGAATAATGCACCACTGCGGAATTTAGTAGCTGTAATACAGTACTGCATACACAGACCCAATGCGGCATAGAATTACTCATGATACTTATAGAATTTAAAAACGAAATATAATTAGGACATGATCATTTTTGCAACTGCCACTACTATTATTTGACAGAACTTTTTTTTTTTTTTTTTTTTTGGGGTGTGGGGGTGTGTGAAAGTTAGTATTCCATGAGCCGAAGAGCACGCACAATTAATTGCCTTTCTCATTTTGGAACATTTTTGGCATGCAAGAAAAACCACCAGCAAGCAGAATCCATTTGCCTGGATTCAATCTTTTGTGGAATAGTGTAACCCGGATAACTGAGAAGCGACACAGACAAAACACACACACACACACACACACACACACACACACACACACACGCACACACACACACACAATTTTTTTGCAAACACATTGATTTTTTTTTTTTTTTAAATGATATTGTGACAGTCAATTAAAAATGACCTGGCAATTGTGCTAATAGGTGAATGATTTACACTTGACATTGGATGTGAATTTCAAACACATTTATTGATGTTGAAATAGAGAGTACATGGGAGCTTTTGAATCATAATAATAATAATAATTTGATTAATACAGTATGCCGAAAACCATTTGAGACTCAATTCCTGGAGTTTTATTTTGATTGCTGGATTCAAAAATGAATATGGGATTGCAACATACATAATGTTTCTTCTATCGTGGATCACCATTATTACAGAATGCCATTGCTTGTTTTCATGAAGATTTAGTTTGAACAAATGCTTTTTTTTTTTTTTTTACTTACATACATATTATTGTTTCACACAATCTTTTTGGGAAATGCTTTAGAATGTTTTTTGTGCCTGCATTGTCACAAATAGGTCAGCATTTTGAAGAAACCTGCTGTTAGTTTGATGAGAAGCTCATTTCCAAATTACATCCTATAACTACCACAAGATTTTTTTTTTCGCAAACTTTTCTTCTCTCACGTGCTCAATTTTGCTCAGCACTTCCAAATTTTTGCCCAACATGAAAAAAGCCACATTTACAGCACAAAGCAATGTTGTTTATTACATGGATCGAAAAATATACAGTCTGTACATCAAGCTACACGAATGAAGAAACACTTCGGAACAAATTTATGCCATACAGAAACACTTTCCAAAGGTCAGTCCTACTCACTGGTTGGTATTGAACATCGAATCCCATTTTTTTACATCCATTTTCAGAAGGTTAAAGTATATTTCCCCACAAAAAAAAAAAAAAAAAAGTTCCAAATCAATTTTTGTTGGTAAAACAGTCCTGTGGCTCCTTGAGCATGAACAACTTTCAAACTGAGCGTTTTTTGCGGTGTTAGCTGGTGAATATGGCCGTGCTCATGACTCAGTGTTGCTCATCGAGTCGGCGATGAGTCGCCCGCCATTTCTGAAAACCCTTTCTCGGTCTCTTTGTTCTTTGCGGTCTGCTTTCCCTTGCCGAGCTCTTGTATTTTTACACGTTGTTTTATCATCTTTGTGCTATTTGTGCACACCTGGCAAAATGTCCATTCGGCTTACGTGATTTTTGTTTTGAGTTTGTTGCATCCTCTGTGTGTGAAGATCCCAGGAATTTGTTGATGTCGGGGGAAGGGAATGGAAGAGGAGGTTCCATTTTCTCTACAGAACAGTTTCAATGTTGGTTCTTTGTGATTTCCTCTTCTGTGAAACATAAAATGTTGGAATTATTATCTGGGTTTTTTTAATGCTATACAAATACAGTTGAGTTGTATGATGTTAATTATTTGTGTGTGTGTGTGTGTGTGTGTGTGTGTGTGTGTGTGTGTGTGTGTGTGTGTGTGTGTGTGTGTGTTGGAGGAAGTGGGAAGGGACGGAAATGACTTGCCTCCTTCAAGAGAAACTTATCAGCCATAAAGTCAACCGTTTGTGACGTGCCTGCCCACGCGGACTTGCCATATAGAATATTTGATGATGATGCCGGGAAACGAACAAAAGATGGAACCATGATCAAGCTCAGATGTTGTATGTCACACCGCATAGCCCCAGAGCGTTTCTTTAGGATATATTTGGTTTTTGATTAATTACAAACTGCATTTTAGGGATTGGGGCGATAATTCGCTCTTCGAGGGAATTCTCTGCAACCTCTTGCCGCGGCTTTTTTTTTTCCCATGACAATGAGGAGGGAGGGTGTTCGGTAGTGAGCTTGTACTTGGTGGCTAAATGTTGTAAAGGGTTTCCTAATATGGGCCGTCTTACAGGAGCACCCTCCTCCCCCCGTGACCCCCCCTTCAGGTTTCAGCCAGTGATGACACAGCTCGGTACGACTCACTTCCCCATTAATTGGCTGAAACCAGTTCTTACAGGATCCGCCTGTGATAAATGTGAGAGTTCTGAGAAGTCATTCATTTCTCCTCGCTGCAGCGGCAGAGGCGGCACTGCGAGTGAGTTGAACGGGTTCATCCGTCTGTGTGAGAGTGTGAGTGTGTGTATGAAAGAGAGCGGGAGGAAGCTGAGCGCCGAGTGGGAGAATGTGGCTGACTACAGCTGTCGCAGGCACCATCTGAAGACCAGACAACTTTAATTTTCCTTCTTTGTTTATTGGGAGTTTTTGAACACGGTGTTGACTTTTTGCCGCTGTTTTATTAGCTATTTCTATTGTACGCGTGTGTGTGTGTGTGTGTGTGTGTGTCTTTCTGTCTGTGTGCGTGCGCAGCGATGGGACTTGCACTCGTTGCCCCCCACCCCCTCAGTCTTCCTCCACATGGACGTAGGGAAGCGGTGGAGACTGCGAAGAACAGCGTGTCCCCCTTTGTGGCTGCCCTTGGGCGGGTGAGAAACAAAGATGTGACGTGATTTGTGCCCCCCCCCCCTCCTCACCAGCTCCCCTCCACCCTCCATACCTAGCCACCTCTATCTGTGTCTCCTTCTCTCTGTCTCCCGCTTCCTCGTATGTGTGTGGGTGTCGGTGGGAGCAGACTTGCCCCTCTGCTGGGTGCGGCACTGCAGCGCGCCTTAAGGGGCGCGCTCGGAGGCCCCCAGAGGGCCAAACCGCGACGGATAGGGGATCCCAACTGTAAGTACAGGGGCCTACAAGCCCCCCACCCCACCCTACCCCCACTGCCTCCCCCTCCCTCCTTTTTTCCCCCCCAGCTCACTGCCTCTATTCATTCACGTGCGCACCGAGGAAGGAATGTTTCCCCCCTCACTTTTGCCTCTTTCCCCGCACTTTCCCCGCACTTGTATAATTTTACTCCTTTCTTCTTCTTCTGCTTCATTGTACATTGACAGTTCTGTTTCCTTTCCAAATTGGACTCGTAGACACAGAAAAAAAATCTAATTACTGTTTATTTAGTTGTCAGCTAGAGGGGGGGGGTGGAGGAGAGGGGCCACTGTGGGGTCTGGCTCCACTCAGTATTGAAGTGTACGACTGTAGCGTGCTGACTCATGCTCCATCTTTCCAATTGGGAGCATGTGAGTGCGTGCGTATGGTCACTCCCCTGTGTGTCTCACATATACGCACTTGCACTCTGTGCCCCGCCTGAACTCAGCACTGACTGTAGACCGGGGCGGGGGCAGCCAGCACTGCCACCCTCCCCACCCTCTACTAGTGACAATCCATCAAAACCTCCCTGTCTGGAACAAAAAGAGCCAGTTGCAGCTCCAGCTCATGTCTTGTCCAACGCTATTTTTTTTTCTTCCTCACTGTCGCTGCGAGTGATTCTTTGAGAACAAGATTTCCTTTTTTTTTAATGGGCTGTATGTGGAATGAGAAGACGGAAAGACTTTAAGTTGCGTAAAGACAGATTAAGGAGTTTCAAGAACAATGTTCCTTTTTTCTTGTAACTCGAGCCCGCCGCAGTTACAGGAGAGCGGCAAGGCAATTTTACTCGCGGGCTGGGGTCAGCAGGGGCGTTCGGAGGGAGGACGGTGGGGGTTGCGACGTGTTTTATTACCACTGATCTCTATCTGTCCTGCACATGGAGCTGGATCCCGCGCCGGTTTACAGCACACGGGTGAGCTCGTGGTCCCCACAAGGCGGGCTGGATGAAGGTTGCGGTCTCACACCGCCGTGTTTTCACCGGCGCATCAGGAGGACACCTCGGAGCGAAGGATCACCTCATCTTTCTTCTTCAGGGCTCCGAGTTCCCTCTATACTTTCGGGCATGTCCTTGTGTGAGTACTTGAAAGCTACGATGTTGTTCGCGTAACTGCTGAGAGTAATTCATTCCAAAAACTCATTGTTTCAACTTATTTTGCCATTTTTTTTT